TTTCCTTATGAAAACGAGGCGAGGCTGGCCTGGGTGTCTTTGGACTTCTCAGTCACATCCCCCTCGGTCCATGCTGCTCACAGGACTGACTACATCCACTGACAAACGTTCCCATTGTGTAGGGTGAGTGGGAGGGAACTGAAAACGTCACCCAGAGTAGCCTCCTAGGACACAGAAGCTTCCTTTGGAGGCCAGTGCCCATTGGACACCCCCCCACACACAACAAACCCTGGTGTGTGTGTCTCCTGCCTCTACTCTAGCTTAAGAATCTACTTCAAAACATACTCCATCCACTACACAAGGACCAGTTAAAGAGAGAGACAGCTTAGCCCAGTGGTTCTCAACCTGTGGGTCACAATCCCTCCCCACAGGGACCATAGATCGGATATCCTGCATATCAGATATTTACATTACAGTTTATAACAGTAGCAAAATTACAGTTATAAAGTAGCAGTGAAATAACTTTATGGTTGGGGGGGGTCACCACAACATGGGGAGTCATATTAAAGGGCTGCAGCATGGGAAGGTTGAGAACCACTGGCTTAGTCTATGGATGGAGACCAGGGGAGGCTACACACCACAGCTGCCCCCAAACACCGGCAGGGCCACCTAGGTGGAAGGGCACCTGTGTTTTGGGGGTGGTAATAGGTAGAATTAGGAGGTTGATTTTTAGCCCTCCTCTGTTATGTTTCCAAGTCCAAGCTGACACTACCTGAACGTGCTTCTTTCGGTAGGCTAAGTTCCACAATGACGTGGTAATTTAATCTATCAAACATCCGAATCAAGAAGATGGAAGCGGATGGCAACCAGGCCCTGTACCCCTCAATCCTGAGATTTGGGGGGCACTTTCCTTTAAATGCGCTTCTAGCTTTGATCTTACTCAGTTCTCCTAACACCTCTAAGAGGTGTCCCCTCTGTTTTGCTGTAACACCAGGCCCCAAAGGTGAGAGGTTTCCCCAAGGTCATCATAGGACATGGATGGACCTGGGCTTCTTTGCTGCATACTCTGCCAAGATTCATTCTTGCCTGTCAGTCAAAACTGAGCTGAGCACCTGGTCCCCAGCACTCTGCTGATAAAGGGTTTTGAGCCTCAGGAAGAAGAAATTATGTAGTCCTCACCAGTTTGAGTAAAATTGGCCCAGACTTAACAAAGCACAATTTATATGCATTCTGAGCCTCACAGTGGTTCCTGAGAATCCCCGATGCTGTTGCCGTGTCTCCTGGCCTCCACTGCAGGCACACGGAGTCCCCACAAGGAAATCTACTTGCAGCCTGGTGTTAGCTAATCACCCCAGACAGGCTCGTCACCACTAGACTGGGAGACCACTCCGTCCCTCTCCCAGACAATTTGGCTTCACACTCACAGAGAGGGATTATACCTGCATAGACTGGTGGGCTCGAGAGGCAACACCACATATTCTACACATTTCAGGGCACTCCACACACAAGCATCACTTGGCCCTAAGATGTTGATAATGTTAAAAAACTCAGGATTGGGACTGGAAAGATAGTCTAGCTGTTAAGAGTACTTCTGGCCAGGCATGGTGAAATACTTCTTTAATCCCAGCACTTGGGAGGCAGAGGCAGGAGGGTCTCTGTGAGTTTAAGGCCAACATGGTTTACATATGAAGTTCTAGGCCAGCCAGAACTACACAGTGAGATTCTAGCTCAGAAACAAAAATAAGAACCTGTAACTCCTGTTCCAGGGGATCCTGTGAGTTCTGCCCTCTGCCAGGTACCCTGTGTGCACATGGCATGTATACATACATGCACATAACATTCACACACATAACAAAGAAAAGAAAAAGAAATCCAGCACTAGAGAGTTTTCTGGTTGCCTTGGTTGGAATTATGCCAATTAGTCAATAAGTATCCTCATGAGAAAGGACCAGCGCAGGGCCAGAGCGGAGAATGTCACTCAGCTCATCTCCTAACTGGAGCATGTCGTGGCTCTCACCTCTCATTTAATGGAATTCTAAAGGGGCAGTTCCAGGAGGAGGGAGAGGAGAGGAGTGGAGGAAGGCTTGGTGTAGCCTGAGGTATTTTAAGATGGTCCAACTGAGGAATTAGAATGCTGAAATTGAGCAGAAGGTTACCCATGTCACCAGCCTGGGACACACAGCTTCCTCCCAGCTTCTGAAAAGGTGTGACAGAGTTACTTCACAGTGGCGGTTCCCTCTAGGACATAAAGTGATTACAGTGGCATTTGCCACCAGAGACAGAGCCATCCTGTGACTATTGCCACCTGAGAGATAACACTGCCTCTGTGCCCCTGGGAAAATCCTCCCCTGTTCCTGTGACATCTCTCCCTGGGAACCACACAGCAGCAACTTCTCTTCCGGGATGCCACTCCTCTAGAAAGCTGAAGTACTTCCTCATCCATTAGATTTCTCTTTCTTTCTGAGTTTTTGACTTTCCTGTCAGTTGGAAGAAAGGGGGTTACTTCATCTTCTGCTGGGTTTTCTCCTTTCTCTCGAGGGGAAGGACATGCTGCCAAAAATACTTAGGAACTACTTCCTTGTGCTGACGGTGGAAAAAAAAGGTTTATTTATTTTACAATTGCATCCACATTTACATGGCAACCAGGGACAGCAGTGCTAAGAGGCTGGGGCCTTGTGCCCTCCCTGGGGGTGCTGAAGAGCTTTCTGGAAGGGTTCCCAGACTCAGCCCTTGCCTCAGAAGCACACACATCCTGTTTAGCCTGTGGCCCCCTGCAGAGCCTCCCCTGCAAGGTTGTTGAGATGGCACCGGGCCTCACCCCAGGTGCCAATGTGGCTCCTCACCCAGCAGCTCACTGCCCCCCCACCCCCGGGCTTCTAGAGTCCAAGCAGTAGCAATAGTCTTGCTTCTCCTCGAGGAACCGGCTGCTCTGTAAAGATACCCTGTTCAGCTACACTCCCCATCCAGGAGACACCCTCCCCTGCAGATGAGATCCTGTGACTAAAGGGCAAGTGTGTGTGTTGTGGCGGGGGTGGCTTTAAAAATACCAGAAATGCTGCTGTTGTTCAGTGCTACAAGTCTTCCATATTCTATAGCCAGATAATAAAAGGAATTGGGGTGAAGACCCCACGGCAGGGAGACGTTGCAAACAGCATGGATACAGAGCACAGCTTGGAGCCATGGCTTCCTCACACCATGGCCTGTGAGCTCTTGACAAAACAGCTCAAGTTGTTGGATGTGTACTGCTTTTCAGCAAAAGCAAACTTGGTTCGAATCCACTCTCCTACTTGGCCTGGTTTGGATGATGGAGGAAGAGGGAATCCTCGCTGACAGATACCTTACCCAGATCCTTTGTGGCCTTAACACAGTCTGGTGCTTTCTCTATATGGGTTCTACTCTGTAGATGTTCTGGGATTTCCAGAGCCAAGAGAGCCGGAGATGCTCCACAGAGGCACCTGTGGCCATGACCAGAAACTGGGAACCAGGTTGGCAGAGCAGATGCTGAAGAAGTCTGCCTGGTGAGAAAGTCTGCCCTATGACACCGTACAGGGACAGTTTGTATGTCACTTGAATGACCTAAGCTCAGGGACAGAGAGGTGTCTGGGAGCAGGGCTGATTGTAAGTGGTGTGACAGAGAACGTGTTCATCAAATAGTTTTTAAGAATTAGCCATACCAATGTGGTTAAGACACAGAATCACAGCTGCCCAGTGTAATGGCGCACATCTTTAATTCCAGCACTTGGAAGGCAGAGGCAGGGGGATCTCTCTGAGTTCCAGACTAGCCTGGAACTACCTATGAGTTCCAGGCCAGCCACAACTCGTAGTGAGAACTCGTCTCTCAAACAACCACCGCTTCCCTCCCATCTGTTCAAGTCAGCTTTTCCACAGTGACTCTGGGCTGGTTCGGGGTTGTACCTCAGACAGGACGGTTTTACACTTGCTCTCATGGCAGCTGGACACCTTTCCCAGCGGGCCCAGGTCGCATGTCTCCTGCCACATTCCACTCCAGGTCCCACTGGCAGCAAGATAACCATCCAAATCACATGTGCACATCATGTCCCTCTCTTCTAGGTCAGCTCCTTAAGAACACGCTCAGAGGAGGATGGAACACATCCAAGAGAGTTTTTTTGAGGAGGCTTGTGTAGTGAGATGCAACAGAGCTGCCAGGAGCAGGACCCTGTGTTCAAGGGGCCCAGGCCTTCCAGAGGCCCAGCAAATAGGTGTCACCGACTGAGAAATCCTCCTGCCAAAGGCCACAGAAGTGCCCCTGCCTCTTCCTGAACTGAACTTCTCATGACAAGGACCTGTGAGTGTGCGGCCCATTGTCCACAGCCTATCAGGAGCCGGCCATGCTTTGGCTTCCTTCACACCTCATATCCTAAGTCTGCCTCAAGCTCGGCTAAAGTTTGTGCAGACTGACAGCCCCTGAATCGTGTTACTGTGTGTCCGTCCATTCTAGCCTTCATTTAACCGGAGTTGAACAGAGAGTGGCACCTACCAATTCTGTACTCCAAGTTCCGGGTATCAAACGTTACAAAGGCCAGAATTCTGAAATAAAAACGACATTGCCATTCTTTTTGACACTCTTTTAGGAAAGCTAGTCCAACACAAATAAAAAAATAACAACTTCGGGCCTGCAAGGCGGCTCAACAGGTAAAGGTACTTGTTGCCAAGCTTGGTGCTGGGGTCTGATCCCTGAGACCCACGTGTGGAAGGAAAGAACCAAATACCACCAGTTATCCTCTGAACTCTGCATGAGCGCCATTGCACACACATGCTCCTGTTGGTATTAACTATGCGTAATAAAAAAGGAACTTTAAAAAAAATAGCTTAAAATGATCACTTTGTATAACCTAGCCTCAAGTCAACTGAAGAACAAAAAGATGAGATCGGGCAAGTTCAGAGTAGTATGACCGTAGACAGAAGAAAGAAAGAAAGAAAGAAAGAAAGAAAGAAAGAAAGAAAGAAAGAAAGAAAGAAAGGAAGGAAGGAAGGAAGGAAGGAAGGAAGGAAGGAAGGAAGGAAGGAAGGAAGGAAGGAAGGAAGGAAGGAAGGAAGGAAATCTGCTACCTAAGCTGGAGTTATCCAAATTGTTATAAATGATTAAAAGACAGGACCAAAAGTGTTTCTCTCCCAAAGAAACGCAAAGATTAAGAAAGGAAAGAAACGGAGAGAACAGCAGACGGCAGATGAGGAAGAGTCGGAACAGCAGTGTGAAAGAGGGGCTGGTCCATTCTAGTCAGTTCCGGCGAAGCGGATGGCCTCTGGCCTCTTTCTTCACATTTTCTTCTGGAGCTGGGAGCTGACTTGCTCTGCTCAAAACAGAAGCAGTGAGCTCATCAAGATCCAAGACAACCACTGCCGTGGAAGGAGAGTCTATTCTTCTCCCAGCTCTCATCCATTGTTCCAAAGCCTCCACAGGCACCACTGGGCTCTCCCCAGGCCTGGGCGCCATGGCAACAGTCACATGACCCCACAAACAGCTCTGCTGGGGCTGTGCTGCTCAGCCTGCTTCTCTCTGAAGGGAGCCTGGAGTTTGTGATCTGAGATGCTGCGTAGAGTCCCCCAGCTGACCACCCCTTGGGCTCATAGGGACCTGCAGAGAGCCTGGGAGAAAACCTACCAGGACCACAGGAAAAAGGTAGGAAGACATGGGCTAGCCTCCTGCTGGGCTTCAGGGTGCCTGGCAGAAAACAGGGAAGTAGGGCAGGGATTCAGATGGCCAGAATGGCAGTTTCTTCTTTTTTAATTAAAAAATATTTTATGTGTATGAATGCTTGCTTTCATGTATGTGTGTGCACCACGTGTGTGCCTGGTGCCTGTGGAGGCCAGAAGAAGGCACTAGATCCCCTGGAATTGAAGTTACAGACAGTTGTGTGTGCTGGGATTCAAACTCAGATTCTCTGGAAGAGCAGCCAGTGCGTTTAACCTTGCTAAGCATCTCTCCAGCCCCGGAATGACAGTTGTTAACAGGGCTCATCATGTGCCACCAGTGAACAAGAGCTCCACAAACTCAGACTCAAGACCACCCCATCCCCAAGCACAGGGTGTGTTCCTGAACATACTCAATTTCCCTAAAAATACTTGCAGTCACCTTAGGAGAAGACTTGTGTGTCCACTCCTGGTCTGCATTCCATGTGCCAGAGGAAACTAAACCTACCTGCACCTGGAAAGGCTACAGACAAGTATTATTTCTACTCCTCGGATAAGGATGTGGATGTTGCTTAAGAATGTCATGAAGTGGGGCTGGAGAGATGGCTTAGCAGTTAAGAGCACTGGCTGCTCTTCCAGAGGTCCTGGGTTCAATTCCCAGCACCCACACGGTGGCTCACAGCCATCTGTCATGGGATCTGAACCTCTCTTCTCTCTGATGCTCAATTCGGTCATGCAGGTATACATGCAAATTACATAAAAATACATGAATAAATATTTTTTAAAGGGATGTCATAAAGGAGTCCTGCCTTCATATTGGGCTCATCTGCTAACGACATTCCATTAGTTATACCAGAAACCCCTGAGGGAGGGTGTCCTTGGATCCGGAAACCAGGAATGGGGTGATCCCCTTCACTAATTTTCAATGATTGCCCCAGGTACCAAATCGACAGTCAACCCTTTTTCCCTCTGAAGTTTCAGGTGATTCCCTCAGAGGTCAACTCATTGCCAGGCTCACTTGGTGCCCCCACTGACCCCAGGAGACCCCACGTAGAGTAGCACTCCTCCCCAGCTCTTTCAAAGGGCCGAGTTAGCTTCCTTACATCTCATCCCCCTCTAGAGACTTTCCTCTCTCCTATAAGAGGTGTAGCATGGCCTTCTGGTTTCTTGTTCAGGCCACCAAGCTGGATGCACAGGCTCATCCCATGGCATCTGTGTCACCTGCTCTGATCATGACTGTTCACTAAGATCTTATCAACCTATAGCAACCATTTAGTAATGACCTTTCACTAAGAAGCCAGAGTCGGTGACTATTATGTCTCTGAGTGATCTTTGAGACCAGCCCTCTGGGCATTTGGCTCTTTTTTATCCCAGGAACTGGCCCAAACCCCGTGAGATAGACAGTCGCCTTCGCTTATGTGAGTGACCAAACTCTACACCCTAGATACCTTCAAAGCTGTTTTGAAGTGGTCGCTGCAGCAGGAGAGGGCTGAATGAGCAAATGAGACCTAATGAGGTGGACAGTAGGCTGGGGCCCTGAGGTGTTTGGGAGCATTGGCTTATGGCACAAATACACAAAGCTTTGAAATGCCCCAGAAGCCTATGATTGGGTGTAGCATGAATCTTAGAGAGTCTTATTAATAAAATCAAACCTGAGGCCAGTTATTGGGGTGAATGCTGGTAGATCAGATGCAGAACAAGCCACAGCTATCTCACCTTGCCAATTCCTCAGGTGGTCCTGTTCCCTCAGACTGGAAGCCTCTGTGTCCTCATATCTGAATGGCTCTCAGCTGAACTGTGCTGCTCAAAACCTAAAAGCTTAACCAGCCAAATGCTTAACCAGCCAAATGCTTCTAGTTTCTGGTCCTCACGCCTTATATACCTTTCTGCTTTCTACCATCATTCCCTGGGATTAAAGGCTCGCTTTCTGGGATTAAAGGCGTGTGTCACCATGCCTGGCCATTTCCAATGTGGCCTTGAACTCACAGAGATCCAGATGGATTTCTACCTCTGGAGTGCTAGGATTAAGGTGTGAGTGCCACCATTTTCTAGCCTCTGTATCTAGTGGTTTTTCTGTTCTCTGATCCCAGATAAGTTTATTAGGGTGCACAATATTTTGGGGAACACATTATCACCACAATTGGGGTTTTTGGAGAACCTAATATGACTATGGCCCCTAGCAGAACCAGTAGACTGGGGGTCCACAAGCCTGGCACGAAGGTGAAGGTACTAACATGTGACAGAATACACCATGAGTCCCACTGAGAAGGAAAGAAGTGATGGGAAGGGAAGTCACGCAAGGCCCAGGAGCCAGTCTTGGGCATAACTGATGGAAGTGCTGAAGAAAAGGGGATTGGGATGAAGCATACAATGACTGAGGGAAGAACCTCTGAAGAGAAGCCATGCCAGCTGAGGGTGTGGAGAGGTCAGAACCTAAGGAGGACAGACAACGGAGCCTAGGAGCTAGTGGGATGTCCCCATAGGCACAAGACAAGGGAAGGGAGACCATCACAGTTTCCTATTGCTGTGATAAGACATTGCCGGGTGGTGGTGGCGCACGCCTTTAATCCCAGCACTCGGGAGGCAGAGCCAGGCGGATCTCTGTGAGTTCGAGGCCAGCCTGGTCTCCAAAGCGAGGTCCAGGAAAGGCGCAAAGCTACACAGAGAAACCCTGTCTCGAAAAACCAAAAAAAAAAAAAAAAAAAAAAAGACACTGTGACCGAAGCAACTTGGAGAAAAAAGGGTTTATTTGGCTTACACTTCCACATCACTGTCCATCACCAAAGGAAGTCAGGACAGGGACTCGAGGCAGGAACTTAAGAAGAGACCACAGAGGAACACTGCTGACTGACTTGCTCCCCATGGCTTGCTCAGCCTGATTTTTCTACAACTCAAGACCACCTGCCCAAGGATGGCACCGCCCACAGTGGACAGGCTCTCCCACATTAATCATTAATCGAGCAAATGATCTACAGACCTGCCTACAGGCAATCTGATGAAGGTATTCCTTCAGCTGAGGTTCCTCTTTCCAGGTATGTCTAGGTTTATGTCAAGCTGACAAACAGCACAGGCAAAGTGACTGTGGCCCAGATACTAAGAGCCCTGCTAGATAATGAGCAGGTGGGAGAAGAATGATGGGGTGTGGCAAAGAACAGAGATCCCTCTCTTCCACCCCAAGTACAACTAGTCTGAATAAAAGCCAACCCGTGTTCCATGTGAAGAGTAGAGAGCTCAGCTTTCCAAGTAGTTAGAGCTAGCATAAGAATCTCTTTTAATGCAGAGACTTTGATAAAACAGAGAAGAGAACGCTGTGCCTCCAGCCACCAGTGACACCTCTAGAGTCTCAGGGGGTACTTTAGGACCTGAGTGCCCACCCCAACCTGCTTCCACTCTTCAGCAAGCACCACAACAGTGCACTCATCCTTCTGGTCACTGCTTCTTTTGGAAATGTGCCCTTCTCCCTCCTGGTCTGCCTGGCACCCTTCCTCTGATGGGCTTACACTGCAGATGGAAGCCGCTGCAAACCGGAGGATACATTGATAAAACCTACTTTTGTGCTGTAACAAGACACCCCAGACTAGACAACTTATAAACAGCAGGCCTTTATTTCTTACAGTTCAAGAAGCTACACATCCAGCATCAAGGCTCTGGATGACTTAGTGTTTGCACAGAGTGCCTTCTGAAATGACAGTCTTAATGGGATAAGAGAAGGGGCCGATTTCTGATGACTGTTTTATAAGGGCTTTAATTTCATTCACGAGAAAAGAAACATCATGACTTAATCACTTCCCCAAAGACTCCATTTCTTAATACCACCACAGGGAGGATTAAGCTTCAGCATGAATCATGGAAGAATACAGAGGCAAACCATAGCAACTTTCAAAACTGAAATCAAAGAGAACAAAAGCCTAACAAAAAATGAAAACAAACCTGAATATCCAAACACAGTGGTAGAGTACAGAAGTGTAGTGTGCCAGTAGTGAAAATATCAAAAAGGAGAACAAAGAAAAGATCCATAAGAAGGAATAAGGGACAATGTCCCTCCCTTCCAGACACCACAGCAGAGATCCAAGGAGCCCAGAATATGCCATAAAGCATAAATGTCTCCAACTACACATAGGCATGCATATTATATTTGAACCTCAGAAAAACAAAAAATAAACAATCTAAGGTGTTAGACAGATGTCCCAGCAGATAAAGTACATTCTGCCATGGTGACCTGAATTTGATCCTTGGGACCTACATGATGGAAGGAGAGAACCAACTCTCATGTGTCCTCTGACAAAGGTGTGTGTACTTCAATTATACAGGAGCAGGGGGGAAGCAATGAGATTTAGTTGTTGTAAGGTACTACACTACCTGTGACTCATGGAAATGCTATTTGAAAATGAACTTGGAGTAGTTGTAAGTGTCTGTTGCAGACTCCATGGACAACAGTAAAAAAAAAAAAAGTATTTAAAATGTTTAACTGGTGTGGCTGGAGAGACTGGTCAGTGGTAAAGAGCACTGACTGCTCTTGCAGAGAGGACTTGGGTTGACCTCCCAGCACCCACATGGAGGCTCACAACCTCCTGGAACTCTAGTTCTAGAGGGTCTGGCGCCCTCTTCTGGCCTCCTCAAGCAACAGCTACACATACAGTACACATACACACAAAATACTTGTACACATAAGATAAAATTAGTATTTTAAAATCTCAAATAAAATGAGAAAATGCAGAAAACTAGTAGAAAACAAAAAAAGGAGCAAAGGACAAGGTTGATCGGTAGAAAATAGTAGCAAATACGGTAGATATGAATCATATTGGATCAACAAACACTTTGCGGGGTTTTGTTGTTGTTGTTTTGGTTTGGTTTGGTTTTGGTTTTTTTGAGACAGGGTTTCTCTGTGTAGCTTTGGAGCCTGTCCTGGAACTCACTCTGTAGCCCAGGCTGGCCTTGAACTCACAGAGATCCACCTGGCTCTGCCTTCCGAGTGCTGGGATTAAAGGC